AGAGATAGAGAGAGAGAAGGGCAGGGTGCTCCCCTCCTTAGGGCAGGGCGTTCCCCTCCTTAGGGCAGGGCATTCCATACCTTGCACTTTTTTTTGGAGGGGGGGCGGCACCCTTTTTTTCGTTTTTTTTGTGCTGCATTGGGTGGAGTACGCGAGGTGCGCCAGACGGGTCTGAGCCGCGCACCTCAATGCGCCGCAAGTGTGGTATTATCTGACGTTTTCTCTGCCTGGGTTCGTGCAGCTTCCCATCATGGTGAAATCCAAGTGCAGCTTTCTCCAGTCTCCAACTCTCCTGTCAGATATCCCAAAGATTTGCCCTTGTCAGGGAAGGGGTTGTAACTGTGACGTAGAGGGTTGTGAATGTGAGGAAGGGCGTTGCCGGTCTCAGGAAGCAGGTGCTGGTGCATCGACCTCTGGACGATATGGACCACAATCACGGCAGTGCTTTGAGTGTCCTTATGATGAAGGTGGGTACTTCGTCATTCGTGGAACAGAGAGAGTAATTATTGCCCAGGAGGACAAAGCGACGAACAAAATTTTTATTCGCAAGATGATGCCTTCCTCCAAGCAAGCTGCATATGTTGCGGAGGTGTGGTCGAACCGGGAGTTCAAACATCGACCAGGAACCAGATCACTTCTTGATCTGCATGGTAGCAGCGGTATTTACTTGCAAATGGCATTCACACCAAAGTTAGAGTTCCGCAAGGCGGGCCTGCAAGAGAAGGGAGGAATGAAGGTGAGGAGAACCAACTGCACTGGAAATCTACGCAACAAACCCAGTTCTTCTTTCTTTCTTTTCGTAGTCCGTGCATGACTTCTCTACAACACACTCTTTTCTTTTTGTTAAGTCCTGCTGGTATTTATGTAACAAAATCCAAATTCTGGTGCCTCTCTTGTATCAAGGAAAATTCTGATAAACATTTGTGGCCAGCAATCAGGATGTGACGTGTGTCAATATAGCATGTGCCAATCAGGATATGACATGTCACATACATTTACCGACTGAGCTCCGGAAAGGAACCTTGCTGTCACTTGGTATGCGAACACATTGTTCTTTGAAATTGCCAGTCTCAAAGTAGGGGTGGACAATTGTGTTGGATAATGTGTAAGGGGGGGGGAGGGGGGTGTATGGGAGGGGTTTGGGAGAGGGTCAGGGGGGGGTTAGACAAGGGGATGTGGGGAGCGATAGGGTGTGGATGGGGGSSGGGGGGGGGGGMGTGGGCGTTATTGGGTGTTAGGGGGTGGTCCCACTTTTTCTTTATTCTGTCTTTTGTGGGATGCTGACCAGCCGCTCTTCGGTAGATTTTTTGACAGGTGGACCAGTCGGCTGGTCAGTTACTGACTACGCGAGGGGCGCTGACATCCGACCATTGGCGTGACTTGACTGATGCCTCTTTGGTTCCTTCTTTTCGCTCTGCCTTTACTGTGCCTGTCAGGTCATGGCTTGCCATGTTGTAGGTGAGTATGAGCTGCCCACATCCCCATGTGCCGCTATGGCCCACTTGCTTGCTCTGAAAAAGAGGTGGAGTAAACAGCGATGGAAGAAAGATGGAAGGAAGACATTGCAAAGGAAGACGAAGGGAAAGTAAAGAGTGTGGAATGAAGATGAAAGCATATGGAAGGATAAGAGAAGACTCGTGAGTCAGCAGGATAGGGCGAGACTCGTGAGTCAGTCTGTCCTTGACAGCTGAGAGGACATGCACTCTAGAGATGAGGTGGATGATGGCATGGAAGACGTAGCTGGAGCATTCACATCACTTGCCAGGACAGCATGCATTAAACATGCCCACCAATCACTCTCAGGAAATCTAAATGCTCTACCCGAGCCAGCCAAGGCAATGTCTAATGGCCCAAGCCAAGGTCTAGCCGATGACAGGTCCAGAACTACCCAGGTACACTCAACGTAGCGCAGTCTGTTGAGCATCCTTTCTTTTTTTTTTTTTCCTAGAAGAGATTAACACCAAACTTGTATTGAGGAATCACACCAGAATACTTTCTAGGAACAAATGAAAGTTATGTCCCCTTGGGTGCTGGAAATAGTGCTGCTGCTCCTTCCTATCATCCAAAATCGCACAATTAAAAACTAAAACATGAAACTTGCTACTCCATTGCCACTTTGCAAAAGTGATCTTCATCGGGGGAACCCTGACAGCAGTGATTTCTTCCCTTGGGAAGGATTGACTGTCCGTTAAGCCCATCCTTTTGAACAAACGGCCGCCGCCTCTCGCCTTGACCCCCAATTAAACATTCTTAAAACCAAACCCCAGGGTGGGTCTATGGCCTTGTTGCTAAAACTCCTAAACCCTTGCCTGCTCCTTGAACTCCGGCATTGTTGTCTTATGGGTGCCAGAGGCATTGATTGCTCGCTGACAGGACGATTAATCTTTTCCCAGGTCATCCCTTTGCCCTTTATAGCCTGAGGCATTGATTGCTCCCTGACAGGACGATGAACCTTGGCCACCCCATCTGTTCATCCCCTTGCCCTTTACAGCCTGTGCCTCTTAATCTGAAGCTAGGCTAACTGCCCGGCGGCCATGTCGCTATGTACCAATCGAGCCTCCCTGAATGAGTTTGTGGTCTGGTCTTCGGGTACCCGTAGGTGACAAACACACTTGAGCTGGTTGCCTTCTAGTATGGTTCTGCTTTTATCACTGGTTCTAACACTTGGTCTCTGGGGTCCTCCTTTTCAATTCGATCTTCCCCTCACCGAGGCTGGGTGCTTCTAAGCCCTGAGACACTACCAGCCCTCAGACACTACCCTGCACCCTGTGCTGCAGGGTATGACACCCCCAAATCTGCTCCCACTACGTACATGGACGTTTACTGCTCTCCATGAGGGTCATTTCACAGAGTGGTGCTCCCCTAGGGTGGACCACACCCTCTATAGCCCTTTGCCACGACCCTCCCACGGAATATCCAGCACAAGACGTACCCCTTAGTCTGCCATTGTCCGCGGGGAACATTCACCTCCTTCTGTGATGATGCCCTGTGGAGCAGTGCTCCCAAGCGGTTCCCTCCGCAATCCCCCTTGACACTGCCCTCATGTTCTTGGGCCTCATTGCTGGCACTGGCCCTTGGTCGCTGAGCCGCACAATCAGCAGAGGAGAAGAGGATCTTATCCACCACGGGACATACTCTCTGCCGCCCGTGCTGCAGGGCATGACACCCCCCTCTAATCTGCACCCACTACCTACAAGGACGCTCGCTGCCCTCCACAGAGTGGTGCTCCCTGAGGGTGGACCAAACCCTCTATAACCTTTTGCCACAACCCTGCCACTGGATATCCAGCACAGGACGTACCCCCTCCCTCACAGCCCGCATGTTCTTGGGCCTCAATGCTGGCACTGGCCTCTGGTCGGGGAGCCGTACAAGTCGGGGAGCCGTACAATCAGCAGTGGAGGAGAGGATCTTATCGAGCACAGGATACACTCAGTCTATTATTGTCCTTGGGGAACATTCACCTCCTTCTATGATGATGCCCTTTGGAGCAGTGGTCCCAAGTGGTTCCCTCCCGACGATCCACTGTGACACTGCCCTTGTGTTCTTGGGCCTCACTGCTGGCACTGGCTTCTGGTCTGTGAGGCGCACAATCAGCACCGGAGGAGGGGATCTTATCTACAGTCCAATGCTCAATACAGTCAGGAGCAGAACGAACTTGAGCTACTGTGGAACAAACCTGCCTGCGAAAACTCGATTCATGCATAACAGAGCCTCACTTATCACGCACGAGTAGACCAGACTGAAAGCAGAATTTGAAAGGCCGAGATCACAGCAATACAAGAGCACACACAAGGTGGAAGTCTCTTGATTATGAAAGCCCTCTTCATGCTTCCAACGGGTCGAACCAGTGGCTGTGACCACTATCCTGCTGCCTACTGTCTTTGCCCGAATAGAATTCCCAGTCATTATTGCCATATCTAGACCGAAATTTGCCCCAAATACAGCTATAATGACATTGTTTTTGAGTGAAGATGGGATGTAGCCTATTCTACTCATCCACTGCATGGCTGAGGTCTGCCCTGCTTCTGCTGATGACCGCTTAAAGTCTGAGGATGCTTGGTGGCCAACCAGCTATGGCACCGCCTTCCTCCTCAGTGCGTATGCCATACCCCTTCTTGCCATACCCTTAGTGCCGTCCCGGCCCGGCGAGAACCTGCATCTGAATTCTGCCTGGCCAAGCCTTGGCTAACATACAGTGGTCGGGCCCCCTGCCTTAGCTGGCAGGTGCTGCATATCGAGAACTTGTGGATTTGGCTGAAACCTACCCTGCCTTCAGGGCCTACGGGGCGTGAACTCCGTGGAGCACGGGAGAGGATGAGGACCTTAGTTGAGCCCACAACTTCTCGGCTGGCATACGTAGCTCTTACCAACTGAGCTACCGCGCTTGCCACTTTTGATTGCTTGTCCTGTGCTTTGGCCCAGCTGAAACAGCTAGAGCGTTTTTCAGATTGTGGTCCTGATCCCCGCATTTGCATATTACGAAGTCCACTTTTGTCTGTTTTCTAGTCAGAAGGATGTCTTGTTAGGGATAGACTTCCTGCTGGAATCGCTGCCTAACATTTTGCAAACAGCAATGGTTGTATGTGGATGGATGGGTGATGTGCAGGGCGTCCCACCATGGGCTATCACTGTCAGCTTTCCTGGGATTAAGCATCCAATCCTGCTGTCCATCTTGTTCAGAGCACTGGGCAATTTGCCAACGAAGCAGATGAAGGAGAGAGTCTGCTACGACCCGGAAGATATCGCCATGCATGAATTGCTTGAACCCACTCTCGTAGAAGAGGTATGATCTGTCCTGATCTGAACTGAAGTGAACTAACTCAGTATGGAAGAACTTGTCTCAAGTGAACAGAACTGAACGGTGCTGAACTTAACTGGGCAGGACAGAACTGAACTCAACCGAATAGAAGTGACGTGTGAGTATGGAAGAACTTGTCTCAATTGAACAGAACTGAACTGTGCTGAACTTAACTGAGCAGGACATAACTGAACTCAACCGAATAGAAGTGACGTGTGCACAACTGAACTGAACGGGACAGAACTGAACTGATCTGATCTGATCAAGAGTGAACTGGAGAACGGCTGTGACTGAGATGAAGTGAGCAGGACAGAGTGTGAGTGACGAGGATGAGCTGTATGGTGTTTTTGGTTTGGAATCCACTTGTATATTTCGTTTGGAATCCTCCGTTCTGGTATTGTTGTTGCCAATTTTCCTTTAGCAATATCATTTAGTGTTTACCCAAGCTTGGCTCAAGGTTGTCCTCGTGAAAATCTTTTTTTTTTTGAATCGGCCCCCTTGCTTCCCTTTTCGAGCTATTCAATTTTCTCCTTGCTTTCCATTCGGGAAGTTGATTCATCTCTCTTCCAGTTCCCTGATCTGGCTCTTGGCAGGTAGGTTTTCTTTCTAACGTCTACTGGCTGCAAACGGAGCATGCTCTGCCTCTTGGCACACAGTATAGTTGTCTTACTGGAGTCGGACAGCCATCATTCGACGAGGGGGTATGTTTGGACTGTGGCAGACACGTTTTTTGAAGCAGCCTGTCACCCTGGGACCCGTGATTTCAGTTCTGTTCCATTAGTCCCCATTTCTTGGTGGGAAGGTGCATGTGTTGGGAACTCCGGTCAGCATCCCAGGGAGTATATAGCTGAGACGCAATGGGTGGAATAGAGATGAACCCTGCAGATGATAGACTCTACTACAGAAATTTCTCTGTTTTCTTATGCTGGAATTGCAGCCGCTATTCAAAACAGAGAAGCATTGCGGATGGTACATGGCCAAAAGCCTTGCCGAAAACAAACCTGACAATTTTACAGCAAATAAACGGACTTTCGCAAGGAATTCCCACAATTGACAACAACCAATTGATATGGAAGAGATGGCATACCCGCAGTTGTGTGCAATCTTTTAAATTACGGAATAATCATCCATGAAGAGGTTGAAGACAGCAACCAGCCACTCTATTTTTCTAAGTGAGTCCTTACCTTCACGGAATGTTGGACTCAAGATAACCTTAGTCTCCACAAAGCAGAGATGGAGAGGAATTCAAGAAGGGAAAGGCAAGCTTGTCGATCCTCCATTTCAAGGAGCAATCGCTGTTGCGCAGGGGTCCTTCACGCGAAAAATGGGTCCAGTGTCCCTCACATCAAACTTTACTCTATGTGTCCGTCCGTGTGGCCAGAGGAACCCGAGTCAGTCGCGTTGTTTGTTTCCCTTTCAGGAAGGATTTACTACTGCTTCTCACCCCTGTTCTGTCATTTGTTTTTACTTCTTTATGTCTGGTATGTTCTCTTGATATCTCTACTCCTCTCAGCCTCAGTAGGCTGTCAGATCCCTCTGCTGAATCCTAGGGCATACACACCTGTCAAAAAGAAAAACAGGCAAGGGAGAGATTTCCTTGTGTCACAGTGTCAAACTGATCCTCTCATTGCCGGAGCTATGCCAAGCCTACCACTGAAAGAGGGGAATTTTGGAAGGACACTGCCTGCCAATTTGCTAATGTACCCTCTTTAACTTGCACTTCAGATCCTCTTCCAGCGCAGGGCATATCTCTCGGGTTACTGGATATCAAGGGTAATTGAGCATCTCTCTTTCCAAATGGCCCAGAGGGTCACTACAGTGATATCATTACATACCAAATACTCTTGGGTTTGCTGAGAGTAAAGGGGATTTAGTCCATAGTCACTACCGCCAGCCCATTAAAAACTCAAAATAAAAACCGCCTGCAAAACAGTGCTGTTTTTTTTTTTTTTTTTTTTTTTTGCATAAAATACCAAACAAGATTCTATGGTCGTGGCCTGATAAATTAAGTCCTGTTCCTTTTCTGATGGCCAGCCATAATCAATACAACATATATCGCACTCGGGTTTCCTTAGGTTGAGGTCAGAGGATCCCTGAACAGCTTTTTCTTTATCAACATAGGCGTGTCATCTTTGTGCAGAGGCCATGCTAATGTTCACAATTGCAGTCTTGGCATCGCACTGGGTTCACTGTTGCATTGTCATGGATAACCTCGGGTTCACTGTTGCATTGTCATGGATAACCTCGGAAGGGCGCTGATGGCTCTAGTCCGATAGGCCCACTGGCCAGTTGACTTTAAACCACAAGTACACGGCCCCAGCCTTGCAGTCGGAAACTTGTCGCCACAAGAAAACGAGGCCGAAACGTCAAACGCTGGGCCCGCCGTCGATAAATTAAATCGGCGGTCGCGGTTTCGTTTCGTGCCTCCAGAATTTGAGGTGTCAGGCCCGAGGCCCAGGTGCCCATGTACTGGTGCTTTAGCATCACTCGGTAAGGTGCAGTAATCCTTACGTTCTTAGGGTTCGTAAAGAGTGGTTCTCGGATTAGGCCCTCCCATGTAGTGTTCAGTAAGGGGTTCATAAACAGGGTTCATAAAGAGGCACTCTCAGATCTCCCGTTGACTCCCAGTGTGACCCTTACCAGTGGGGGAGCAGCCTCCAGGCTCTGAACCCCTCCAAGCTCTGACCTGCTCCATCGAAAAGTGATGTTTGCTAAAGTGGCCCTAAAAAAGGCCTAAATGCCTTTGGAACTCTTGCCTGGATTATGCGGTAGACATTCTTGTCTGAAAGAAGGGGCTTTAGTTGATTGAGGGATTGGCCATGTGCTGTCACTAGGCCATTCTAATGTGGCTCTTGCAGACAGTGGGGTAATTTCATCGAGCAGCGGGCTGTGTGCAGCGGGTATGTGTATTATAACTCAACTAACTCTTTTCTTGGGTAAGGGAATCTCTGGCCACTTGAGGGATGCCCTCAATAGCTTCATGGTTGTTCCGCCATAGATAAGAGGTCAGGTCTTTCTTCATGACAGGTAGAGCTTTCTTGTCAAGTGGCCACAATGCTGCCCTGCACCATAGGGTGCTTTGGAGCACATTATAACCACAGTGGACCTTCCACCAGGGAGGTATGCTCTCTTCCTGAGGCCAAGCTTTCCAGTGGATTGAGGACTGCTGTCCGGGTGGGAGTGTGGCAGGGAGAATTGATGAAAGGGGTTGGGTACAGTCTCGCAGAGGGAAAAACCCCCCCCCCCCCCCCCCTCCCCCACCCACCACCCCCCAAGAAAAGAAAAGAAAAAGAAAAAAGGGTCAAATCATGGAACCGTTTGACCTTGATATGAGTTGCCAACTCTTCCCATCTTATTGTGGGCTCGTCAGGGGGCCTGACACCTGGGCAGTGTACCTACCTGATAGTGGTCTCAACTCTTCCCATCTTATTCTAGGCTCCCTAGGGAGCCTCACATCTTGGCAGTGTCTCTACCTCTCATCTCTACATCTCATGGGTACCAGGTTTGGCATTGGCAGTGAGAATCACTCCTAGGATCCTGATAGGTCTGCGAACTCTTCCTATCTTATAATTGGCTCCCTAGGGGCCCTGAGACCTTGCACTGTCTCTACCACGCTGTTTTCATGCACTCCAATTAACTTGCATATCCAAGAGCAATCAGAATTTGTTGGGAGTTTTGTTTTTGGGGACCTGCATTTTTCCTTCCTAGTCAGCCAGCAAGACTATGACTTTATCGGGCAACGGTTGACACGACACATTGGCATGAGCTAGGGAATGTGTTCAAGGTGCTGGCTCTCCCTGTGGCTCTCCTCGACAATTATGAAGACGTACGGAGCTACAGGGTCCCCTTCCCTGACAGATATGCAGTTAAAGGCCTGCGCTAGATGGCAATCAGTGTGAGTCATCGTATTGGTATGCTTGCGCCACAGAGAGACGCAACTCCTTCACTCGTTTGCTATCTCCATGCATCTATCCGGGAATGCGAATCTACGTGTTAGTAGGCCTTTTCGGAAATAATTAAGATGGAAAAAAATTGACCTGCCTGTCACAATTGTCTATTCATCTTCTGAACCCTTAGGAACTTGATTCTGGTTTTAAAGTGATCGGTCAGGATCTTATTGCGCTCAAGGTGCTCCACTGATCCTCCACTAGTTCCCAGGTGGTACCCTTAGGAACTTGATTCTAGTCCCAGCAAAGTGATCGGTCAGGATCTTATTGCGCTCCTCAAGGTGATCCACTGATCCTCCAGTAGTTCCCAGGTGTTCATTGAAAACGCGGTAGGTAAATAGCCTATGCCTGGGGTTTCTCGATTCGTCTTGGACAAAACCTCCCATAACTTGCACATAACTTTCTTCAATTGTAAGGTGTTCCGCACCTGGCTTGCTTTAGACTTCTTTTCTATCAAAATTCAAATTGAATAAATTAGTATTGGTTGTCCTTTCTTGTGATTCCTGTTGCATAGTCTACGACTCCCAAAAAAATGTGATACACCATAGGCTTGTTGTCACCTACTGAAATTACATTTGAACACGTTGGGACTTGTTTCTATGATTTTTATTCTTTTTTAAGGGGGTTTCCCTCTTATATGCTTTCAGCGGTTCTCGGGAGGGAGTCAGTGACGATGACCTGTGTGTGGCTGTGTGTGTCTGCGGTGTTTCTGTTTGATTGGTCATGGTTGTCCCCGCAGATGAAGGCTTATGAGGAGGAGGATAAATTTATGCAAAAACGAAAGGCAAAATCGCACAATGCGGACCAGAACGAGTTCGAGGAGGTGACAGCTATACCCATACCTTAAACATTTTCTTGGTGTAAACAACTCTCCCACCCTTCTCTTTCTCCCATCATTCACTGTCTCAAAGGGGGAGATTCAAATGTTTCTGCAAGCAAGACCTCACTTCTGGTTCAGAATGATCATGCTAACGAGTACAATGATGAAGAATTTGATTCCTTTTCTGCGACTGATGATGTTGATTTCTTGTGGGAAAGATGTGCCTCCTCCTGCTTCTGGTTATACTGATGATGCTACCAAAAATGATAATGATGATGATAATGATGATGATAATGATGATGATAATGATGATGACATCCATAAGAATGCTGGAATCTCCTCTTTATCTCTTATGTTCCATCAGTCCACCGAACTTTGTTGAAAAGAGGAAGCTTTATCATTAATTTGGAGTGAGGGAGTGTGGCGACAAAACTCACCCTGAAACCGGGTAGGAGTAAGTATGGCAGCAAGGCCAACAGTGATAGTGAAGGGGATTGTGTTTGAACATTTTGGACTGAAACCATATTTGCTGTCACTGTGAGTATATAATTAAACCACCAGTAGCTTTCCCAGTTGTTTTGTGCTGACGCGGGTTTTAACCTGCCACAGCCTTTTGGGCTTGGCTGACCAGACTGAAATGGCTGGTGGCACCATGCGAAACAAGAAAAGAACGTGCCTGGGACGGTTTATTTTTTATTGGCATGCTGCAGAAATCCGCATTGGGAAAAAGAGGCATGGAGGTACTGGTTGTTGAAGTATATCCTCGTAGTAACAGCAATTACAGTTTCAGTCTAAAATGTTTTAAACTATCACCATCTGTCAGTGAAATATTAGGCCTGGCTCCAGTGCACTCCAGACGTGAGAACTATCATTATCTGTCAGTGAAACATTAGGCCTTTCTCCACTGCTCTCGAGATCGGAGCGGGTATATCTTTCCATCTTCTAGGAGAAGGTAGGCGTCCAGGTTTACGCATTTGGTGAGTGGTGCAATGATTCCCATTGGAACTGTGTGAGTTCAAGCTGAGGGCATGCTGTCACTTCCACTTTTGTTTTTCGTTTTTGTCTTCTTGCGACTCTTGTCTACTTCCAATTTTCTTTTTCGTTTTCGTTTTCTTGTCTTTCAATGAAAACATACTTTCATGAGGACCGTTCCGGTTTTGAATGAATCTCCTTTCGTAAAAGAAAAAGTAAAAAAAAAAGCAGAGAGCAGAGCACTACAACCCTGGCTCCATATCCATTCTGGGAAGCGGCAGCCGGGTTCTTATTCCACCTGGAAGTCTGAAGGGCACATACTGCATCTTGTTTACTCCTTAATCTCCTTATAATTAACAGCCAGATTTATTCGAAACAATTATAGTCTATGTCCTTGTCCTGATCAGAGCTATCTAGGTACATACTTTTTAAGTTTTAACCAATTTGCGGAGTTTGCCAAGAAAAGTTTTACAGTCTGTGCTTGGGCCCCTCAGTCTAGTCTAGTCTGTGCTTGCCCCCCACCTGGGTGCACATCCACTTCGCCTTGGTAATTAGTCCCCACCTTGGCCATGGGTCGCACAACCTCAGGGAGTATTTGGCACCTGCTCACATAAACCTGCTCACATAAACATTTCGGCACCTGGGATCTTATCCTTACTTGCAGTTCTATCTTCCTGCTCTGTGAATTAGTGTGAAACATCTAGTCTCAGCCAGCTGCCTTTCTAAGCTTGGTCTGACATTTTGGCAGCTCTTCGGTTGACTAGGCTACTGCCGAATAGATTGTGGTCCCTTTGTATCAATACTGAGGGTATTTTTCCGGTCTGATACGGAAATGATGACCCTAAGTTCGGTTGGCAGGGAAGACTTCAGCAGTGGTAGTTGTATGTTGCAGTTGTTCATATCCGCATGGCATGCCATTTGTGCTGATACGTCTCTCTGATGGCTCCCTTGTCAGTACGCACTGCATTATATTGGAACAAGAGGAATCAAACAAGGCGGCACAAGGGAAGAGAGGATCAGGTATGTTGTTGGTAAATGCTAGTGGAGAATAGTGATGGTGAATACAATTTGCAACTTTTATATTCCTTTTTTTTGTGTGTGGCTGCCAGAAATTTTCTTTTCTTTCTCCTTTCCGGATAAACAGTTCATCATTGTGGGTGGGCCCAGTGGCCAAGGCTCACAAGAACGTAATGAAAAGCAAGTTGAGGGGATGACCGGGGGGTCACACGGATGAACCAATGGGCGGAGCCCTCATGTGGTTCTGGTCATACTTGTACTAAAGACTCAGTAGAGCATGCCGTTTTTTTTAATATGATAAAACGGGTTCCAAGCATAACAATTGATAAAATAAAATATCAGAAAAACAAATGGCCTTTTTAGGCTTTTTTTTATGTGAAGAGCCTTAACTTATGAATGGCATGGGGGAGAGCTTGCATTTGGCTGTGCTCACTGTTCTGGACTGTTGATTTGGAGGATACACCGCCAGAAACCCTAGAGTCCTGGTGAGTGGGACCATCTATCTGATGGTGTATGCATTTCCGTATGGATTTCTCATTACAAAAGAGGTGGCAAAAAATGACTGCTGCCTTCCCTTTCACATCTTGCCCGTCATTGTGGATTCTGGCTTTGGGTGTATAGTGTAGTAGGTGTGGAAGTAAATGACCTTACCCCGGGTGGGTTTTTTTTTTTTTTTTTTTTTTTGTGACCTTACCCCGAGTGGTTAGTCTCTGACTCTCTGGCCAATTTAGGTTATGCGATGTGACGACGCCCATTTCCGTAATGCTTGCCCCTTCGCTGTGCAGTGTAGCGATGGGGGTTGAGGTGATATTGAAATATAGATGATCCGATCCTAAAATAACCTGTTCGGCATTCTGGTTTTGTTCAACTTTAAGTTACACGTTCCAACAACGGCCAAACATACATCCAGCAGTTTGAAGAAAATGCAAGGAGCAGTTTGCAGAAGCAACCGACTCCGTAATGCTTTGCCCTTTGCTGTAAAGTCCACCATCTTCACCCGAATTGAACGCCCGGTATTATAGCTGTATTTGGTGCAATTTTCAGTCCAAATGCAGCCATAATGAGGGGTCGTTGTATTCGGGTGAAGATGGTAGCAATCGGGGCTTTGAGGTGATATTGAGAATTTTGAAATACATGATCCGGCCCAAAATACCTGTTGAGAACTCTCATTGTGGTCGACTTTTAAGTTACAAGCTTCAACAGTGGCACAACATACAGCAGTTCGAAGAAAATGCAAGTAGCATTTTGCGGAAGCAATTTGCTCCAGAATGATCGCTAGAGGGAGGGCTTGAACCTCCGACCTTGTGGTTAACAGCCACACGCTCTAACCAACTGAGCTACTCCAGCTGCTTGGTAGAGGGGTTCCTGATTCCTTTTTGAATTGTGTTTACACGGCTTGCATTTTCTTAGGCTGCCGTACGGAAACAAATGCAGAGGTTGCTGCTTGCCGCGTCTGTCATTGCTGTCCACTGCTGCATTGGAGGCCTGGTCGTGGTAGCTGTATGAGGGTGATTTTCAGGCTAATTACAGCTGCCATGGCCGTGGCTTCTTTTTGGCAGACGATGGTTGTGTTCCGTTTTTTGACAGAGGCCGTGGTTGCTGTCCACTGCTGCATTGGAGGCTACCTTGTTGCGGAATGGTATACACGGCGAGAAGCAGGTGACGGGCTTAAGCCCACCCGGGAAGAAGAATGGTAGGGGCTAATTCAGGGACAAAAAACGGGCAGTTATGATGTAGCTCTTGAGATATGGGAGCCACAGGCTACACCCGAAGTGGCCCTGTCTGGTCTGTACAGGTGGCTGCTTCCGATAGGCAACGTCTGCCCCTCACCTCATTTTTCTCTTTGCAAACTGACCACTGACTGACCTCTTGTGCCGGTTGCTAACAGTCTTCTCTGTCGGTGAGTACTGAGGACCCAATAAGGTTCTTCTTTCCTCAGCTCTTCTCCTATCTCCAGTATACTCCTCTTCCTATTCCCTCCTCCCCTTCCCCTCCTTCCTCTTTCCTTCCACGACCAAGTGCATATGAATATAAGTTGCAGGTTTGCTGAAAGGCAAACGGGTGTGTACAAATCCCACAATAAGGATACTTCGAAAAAAAAAAGGGAAAAAGGAGGATGCTTCAAGTTTGTATCTACGCATCTAAGTGGAAAAGGGGTTGTTTCGGTGACAGTCTACATGGACACACACGAGCAGACCAAAAACAGCAGCAGGATTAGGAAAAGCGGACGAGGGTATTTGAGCCACCAACCTTCGGAAAAAGACGGTTCGTGACTAAGTCTGGATTTTGACCTGCCGCCTGCCCCACCCCTGCCCCTTTGTGCCACACAGGATTCTCACAAGGAGCAGACGAAGCCCCCTCTGCTGAGATGCCTGCAGTAATAGGAAACCCATCTTGCCCACAGACTAGTATCGTGCCCCTTCAGCTTCTTAATAGGAACTCACCACTGCTTGAGAAAAGGCCTTCTCGAAATGGAAGGGTTTTTTTGCATGCTGAGGCATAAAGGGTGGTTTGGATAAACCGGCCATCAACGAATAGACAACTTGGTAGGCTATAGATGTTGGCATTAGGAAGGTTAGGGATTCACATGGTGAAGTGCACAAGGGGTGATTTGAATAAACCTGCCCATTGACAAATGGGGAAGTTGTGAGGCCAAAGATGTTCACAATAGGAGTTTCTTGGGCAACTATTCTATGAGAAGCAGTCCTGTGCTGTTCCCATCTGCAGCCCTGACCATTGTCCTCCTGAGTTGTTCTGTGTGACTTGGCAACTGGTAGCTGCTGACTTTGGCAACATGACGACATGGACTTCCAATCAATCCTGAGCTAGGCAAGGTCCTGAGCGCACCTCTTAGTCCTTCCTGGGCTGGTGCACCTTATCTCCCTCTCCCCGGTCTTACATCTCTCTCTCTCTCTCTCTCTCTCTCTCTCTCTCTCTCTCTCTCTCTCTCTCTCTCTCTCTCTCTCCTGTCTCTTATACACATCTAGATGTGTATAAGAGACAGCTCTCTCTCTCTCTCTCTCTCTCTCTCTCTCTCTCTCTCTCCACAGTACAGAAACAATGGTGGTAGATGATCCAGGGCATACAGGGATGATGGCCGTGTCCTTGTTGCTTCGATCTCCTTCCTTGCTCGTCTCTCCTTCTTTTTCTTCTTAAGTGCTATCTCACCATGACCCTGCCCTATGTCTTGTTCCCGCAAACCTCTCAGCAGGCTACCCCTTTGAGCTGTTATGTGGCTAGCAGCGAAAAGCTTAAGGACCACCACAGCGGTCCTGGTTGGTCGTCGGATTGATAGTGCCATATTGTCTGATAGGTTTGGAGTGTGGGGGACTTTACGTATCCCTCTCTCAGTCCGATTGGCCCCCCTCACCCCCCACGTCTTCTCCCTCGGTGCTTCTTCACCTTCTCCTGTTCGCCTGTCCAGCAGGACTTCTCACTGAGCATCCTTGGAGTTAGTCGTGAATCTTCAAGGGCTAATACTCGCCTCCCTTAAATCCCGAGTACGTTGCCCGGGCAAACTTGAGAATTGAAATTGAGAGAATCTGAAAATTTTGGAGGCACGGGGCTTCTGGACCAAAATCCCTGATTTCTTGTGAATTGAATAGCTGTCCATCTGGTATATGATTGAAGTTCTTGCAAATTCTGCTTGCCCAGCACATGCATGATCTCAAATTTAAAAGATTGCACACAACTGCGGGTACTGCAAATCAGAAAACTTTTTGAAAATCGTGATCATGTGTATGCTTGGGATGTGGAAATCTTTTCGCTTCACTGTCCTTCTCTGTCTGTATGACATGATGGGTCAATTATTTGCTTTATTCGTATTAACTGTAGCTGCTGCAGAATCTGCTATTGGGCTCGCTATTCTTGTTATTACTTTCGAATTCGTGGCACATGAACTGTGGCCACACACAGCTTCATTCAGTAAAGTTGGAGGATCGGTTCTGCAAGTGTGAGCCGGCATGTGGGCTGTGTGAAAATGCCTCCTTGCCCTCTCGAGTTGTGCTGTGTAATCTGATAAGTGGATCTGGTGGCAAGGGGAATTCACAATAATCGGGGGAGGGCGTAATTGCAGGATGGGTAAGCCAGATCCAGATTGAGTGCATTCATAATTCTGGGATTTGAAAGGAAGTAAGCATGGGTGTTCAGCCATACCAATCCCACAAAGCCCTCTTCGGAATACCTTGAATATCCATGTGGCCATGTTGGATATGAGGAGAAACCCTGGCCCCATCGAACCCTGCTTTTTCCCATAATTTTTTTGTGGGGAACATGCATAGACAGGAGTTCGTTTAAATTTGTGACAGTAGGAGAGGAGGGAATTTGAATCCGTATATGCCCCTGCAGTCAGATGTGTGTCCCTTTCCTGCTGATGAATAGGTTGTTTTGAGAGGCAAGAGAAGTATGCGGGATCACTGGGCAAGGACTGGTAATTGCAGGATGGTTCAAACAAGATTCAACCTACCAATCACATTCATAGTTCTGGGATTCGGTTGAGACAGGGAAGGAATCCGATCCCGTAAGCTTCTCTCGGTTAATTTGATAAGCCATACGACGTGGTCGATTTGTGCAAAGAGAGATCTTGCCCTCCTACAGTTGGTTTAAGTTTACGGTCTGGCTTTGATCGGCGGGCTCAGAGATAAGGCGTCCATATATATCTTGCAACAAAGCAGGTTCTATCTCCCAGGACACAGGCATGCATGCGTACAAGGGATCTTGGCATGCCTGTTTTCTGTATGATGAGGATGAATGTCTGACCCGTCGGTCGTCTGAGAAAGCTCGCAGGAGGTTTCACAATATTTCCAATTGGAATTAGCAGATAAGAGCGCTGTGCGTACTCTCTGCGAATGGAGAATGGGAAAAGCCTGGGTATGTTGAAAGATGACTTTGGACTCTTTGGAGACGCGGTGGCGAGGAACAATACCATGGCATCATTGGCATGGATACATGCATTAAACAGGCACACACAGAGACACTCCCCGTATGACACTGATGTCCTCTTTATCCTTCAGATCTGTTCAGGGCCTTGTCTTTTCCGTTTTTCTCTGCGGCTAACATCTGAATCAGGGGGTGAATATGTGCTTTGGCAGAGCAAACGGAATCCTTTGTGACACATTACGTTTTGAAATTTTCACGTTTCCGTCTTCAGTTGTTTTGACTACGGAGGAGTTTGGGTACAGATCGGGTATGAGGGATCTTGGCATGCCTGTTTTCTGTATGATGAGGATGAATGTCTGACCCGTCGGTGGTCTGAGAAAGCTCGCAGGAGGTTTCACAATATTTCCAATTGGAATTTGCAGATAAGAGCGCTGCGCGTACTCTCTGCGAATGAAGAATGGGAAAAGCCTGGTATGTTGAAAGATTACTTTGGAAGTTTGGACTCTTTGGAGACGCGGTGGCGAGGAACAATACCATGGCATCATTGGCATGGATACATGCATTAAACAGGCACACACAGAGACACACTCCCCGTATGACATTGATGTCCTCTTTATCCTTCAGATCTGTTCAGGGCCTTGTCTTTTCCGTTTTTTTCTGCGGCTAACATCTGAATTGGGGGTGAATATGTGCTTTGGCAGAGCAAACGGAATCCTTTGTGACACGTTACGTTTTGAAATTCTCACGTTTCCGTCTTCAGTCGTTTTGACTCCGGAGTACAGATCGGGTCCAAAGGGGTGCAAATACGTGCAGTTTATTCAATATAGACTTTGGGGATACCCTGAGCTGGAATTTTTTGTATGATAAGTGTACCCATTTCCTGAACTTTGGATGGGGGCTGCCTGGCACGTTGCCGTGGCCTGCGCTGGGTGGCTACCTAGTGCGGCTCACGGCAGGGCAAGGGTGCCTGAGCAGCCCACACAAATAGTCTGGGCTTACATTTGCTTACAGAATCTCAGTAATTATAATCACTGTGGACTGAGGAATGTCTACCGTCTTCTTTCCCTTAACACAATGCCCGCTTATTCTGACTACTCCCAACAGGAAAGATAACTTTAAAATTTTGAAATAGCTTAATGACAAGCGTGGATTGTGTTTGGGGGAAGAACAGTACTCTTTTCTCACTAAGTGTAATTACTATGTGCATTGTCACTATCACAAAGGCCATGGTCTCAGTGATGGTTATTAGTATTGAGTACTGTGGTCCTCACCTCCGTGAAATTTCACCTTGGGAATCTTCGTTTGCATTTTGCAGGTTTGCAAGGGATATCATATACGAGAGAGTCTTCCCACATGTGGAGGGTGATAGAACCTACTATCTCGGGTGAGTTAAGCATATCTGAAATGGGTACGTTGAAACTCAGATCTGAAGCCCTATATGCGGGCTGGTTTTGTGTTGTTCCCTCTTTGTAGTCTTCAAAGCATGCAACAACCACCTGCATGCTGTGACATTGCAGTCTGTTTTTGCAGGTTGTCTTCTTTTCCTCTGTAATTTTGAACGGTCTTTTCATCTGCTGGCAGAAGGTAACTCTTCTCTCTGATCTGCTTCTCTCTTCCCTGGCAGAAGGTTGTGCATTCATTGAAAAGGAAGATGCCGGATTGTTGAGTAGGGGGGCTGGTAAGGAGCAGGGAGGAAGGATAGTAGTAATGAGAATCTCCACTGCTACTTGACCACTCTTGTGATAAAGCCTACATCCAGGCCTGAGCAGGTTGAATAGTTCAGGTTGGCAATCTATCAAACCTTTTGAGATCAGCTGATTCAGCTGCCCATTGGAGCTATTGCCATATTGGTAGCCCCATGGGAAATCTGCAGCGGTTTCGTGTAAACCGGTTGGGCCGTGATGCGGGAAAAGGAAAACGTAAGTGCTATGTGGAAAGGGAAAGACAGGCGAGATTTGACAATGATGCACACACCCTTTTGTAAAATTGGCAGCCAGCCTGCCACAAGATTTACGAAAATGGATGCTTGAGATCGGTTAGAAATTTGAAAAGCCTAAGCTGGGTAATGGCCCGAAGTACTCAGCGTTGAGATGTGGAGGGATTCGCGGCCTCCTTTTGCAGTTGAAAAAAATAAAATAAAAAATGATGCACGGCCTCAAGCTGGCCAGCATTGCACCGATGCATGCGCTACCTTTTCCCCTCTTCCTGTCTTCAACTAGTCTCTCCAGTTCTGCCATGCCCACATGTCGTATCACTTTCCCAGCTGATCCTACACCTCTTCCCCACGAGGTTACTCTTCACTAGTGGACTTCCAATGCGCTATTATCACCTATGAAAGAGGAGATTCACGCCTTGATGTCTTCTCCAATAAACAGAAAACAAAATGAAAGATAACTGCGGTTCTCTCCACCGACAGAAGGCACAAAATGATAAGACAGATTCCGATGAATAAACATGGAATGAAAACGGCACAGTCGTTACGTCGAGATGCGAAAGAAAGAATGCCCACGGGCATACTCACACTGGTACTTTTCCTAAAAGCCAAAAAGATCCTGCAAAAACTGTGGAAAGGACACACCAGGTCTTACCGCACATTGCTTCTTAATCTCTGTTACCCTATCTCAAGATCCTTCGCTTAGGGTCCTGGCTCCAATCAACATATGTGGTTCCTTCCCATCCGCAATTCAAAGATGTACTAAAATAGGCATACTGGGGACGCATCCATTCATTATGGCCGCTGGACAGCGGGGAGGATTGGTTGCCAGAACAGGCAAACTACACCATGCCTGAAAAAGCTGTACTGCTCGGAATGATGATCAAAATTTATCCTGGCAAGAGCACAGTTATATTTGTTCGGTATATTAAATCTAGTCATAGTTTGGTTGCATAAAGTCTGAAAGTGGGAAGTGTTTCTTATATGAGAATGAAGACCCATAGAAAATGTAGGACAGTAGTTCCTCTGGCAATAACTTTGACTTCTCATGGATGTCTTTGCCTTGGGGTGTGTGTGGATGTAAATTTCTAGGTACATGGCCTACCGGCTGCTTCTCTGTGCTCTTGGCCGAAGGAGAGAGGACGATAGGGATGATTATGGGAACAAGCGCCTGCAATTTTCAGGGCCATTGCTCGAACGTGTTTTCCGAAATGTATGTATGAAGTTATGCGCAGAAGGGATTACTCCAGTGACGAAAGAAAAAGGGCCGCAGCCTTGGGGGAGAACTCGTTTGTGTTGGGGGTCCTGGCACTTGATTCTTTTCTTGTGGTCTTCCCCCAAGGCTCATATTGAATTGCTTGAAGAACAATGCACACGGGCATCTTTCGGTTAGAGCAGGACAAGCAGCCCCTGACCACCGTTCTTATGGGATAGGTACCCAGGCCATCATCGCATTACTTTCCTAAAGGGGAAGGATTGACCTCCGGTGCATTCAGCATTCAAATGGGGACGTAATAAATCATTTCTTAACAAAAGTGGAAAACCAGGTCCAGTGTCCCATTCACAACATTTTACATGCAGTGAATCTTCTATTTCGCCATTTTGCTCCCTCCCTTTCTTCCCCTCGTCCCATTCTTTCAATTGCCGGTGTCAGATGCTCTTAGTCTCCTTGCTTGCAGGACCTCGACTTCCTTGGGCCCTGATAAACTTAGCCAGGCCCCTATTTATGGCTGCTCAGGCGCCTATTTGTGGCTTCTAACCCCCATCAAGCAGATTGTGAGGTTCTCTCATCCGTCAGTTTCATTTTGCAACCAGATCTTGCTGGTTGCAAAATGTCCAGGTTCATGTGGGTGTGGCCCCTATCAAGTCATGGTCTGCGAAATGGGGCTTCCACCTATCATAACTCTTCAATGGTCTGCGAAATGGGGCTTCCACCTATCATAACTCTTCAACAGGTAATGGGAGACCATCATTTTCGTTTTTTTTTTTTTTTTTTTCAATTTTTAAGCACATACGATCCAGTCTATTGGTAGGGAACCTCACCTGCTGAATACTGGGTGCAGCCTCAAATAAAATGAACAAAACTTAGCCTCCCATAAAATGTTGCAAATGTAATTCCATAAAATATCGCAAATGTAATCTCAGAATACGAACCAGGCAGCATATATTACTTCCCGATCAGGGAGGATTAACAGTTTACCCAGCACATATGATCCAGTCTATTGGTAGGGAATCTCACCTGCTGAATACTGGGTGCAGCCTCCAATAAAATGAACAAAACTTAGCCTCCCATAAAATGTTGCAAATGTAATCTCAGAATACGAACCAGGCAGCATAGATTACTTCCCGATCAGGGAGGATTAACAGTTTACCCAGCACATATGATCCAGTCTATCGGTAGGGAACCTCACCTGCTGAATACTGGGTGCAGCCTCCAATAAAATGAACAAAACTTAGCCTCCCATAAAATGTTGCAAATGTAATTCCATAAAATGTCGCAAATGTAATCTCCAAATACGAACCAGGCAGCATAGATTAGTCCCCGATCAGGGAGGATCCGTTAACCAGTGGTGGAGTTATCAGGATAATGTGCAGAATACTCGTAACTTCGTAAGTAGTTTTGACAAGGAAGTAAAGATTAACTACTCGAAGGACTTCCATCTATGTTACCACCATCTTTATAACCAAATCATATGCCATACAGTGCATGCACCTGTCCTGCTGGCCACCATCCTCCAGGACACAAAGAAAATCAACATACTTATCCATGCTTATTTCCACCCTGCAATCATCTTACCACCAACCATACTCCAGCTCGACTCACATCTAGGGAGCTATGATCTCCTCAGAGTAGAAGTTATGCTGTGATCCCACCATCAGCTAACCCACACGGGCAGTCAACCATCCATCATTCCTCCCCCCTTAAATGTCATTGCCTTACTGCAACACACCCTCTCAATTATTTCTTCCAAAGCTATTCCCAAAGTCTATGGAATTCATTCCTCCCCCCTTAAATGGCATTGCCTTACTGCAACACACCCTCTCAATTATTTCTTCCAAAGCTATTCCCAAAGTCTTATGGAATTGGATCATGCAATACCCTGTCTCCAAATCCAGTAGGACTTACCACAGCAGAGCCACGATCTCCACTGCTGGTGTACTTTAGAAAATCCCAGTGCCTAGTTCTTTCCAGATCCATGGCGACGCCCCTTCCAAACCACTCTTGGTTACTGCTGTATGGAAGAGTTACTGTGATGTTTTTACCTCTGTTGAGTTCTTAACTGCAATGTTGTTTACCCTATGAACTTAGTATGAAAGTGTCTACTGCGATGGTCTTTACTGTGTTGAGGTATTTATTGCGGTGTGGTTTATTCTATAAATGTGCTTGCTGTGATGTTGTTTAATACTATGGAGTATGAAGTTGAATGTATGCACTGTGGTGTAGTGACTGTAGTCCTCTTTTTCCTTTTGAATGCGCTTATGTTGAAGTGAGGCAAGTATCTCTGTTCTTTTCTCCCTTTTGGTATGCACATCTCTCCTTTCGAAAGTGAAGTATGACCTCAAGAGTTTGTGCTTGTTGCTGAATGTTGCAAATTGACTTACTCACTTCTTTACATGTCTGTTTGGGTCCTGAAACTTTGAACACCATTTTGCAGGCCTTCAAGAAATTGGTTGGTACGACGAGGAAGATCTTGATGAAGGTAGGCAAGAGTCCTTTCTTTCCATTGGTAATAGATAATTGTTGATCGATGGGATGGGCTCGTTTCGTGATTTTCCTGCTCTGGTGTTATTTTCATCACCTCTGCTGATTTCGAGATGAAAATTCAAGAGATGGCGTGCAAATCTTTTTGTGGTGTCAATGGGGTTGCACCATTTTTGTTCTTTTCCTTTGTTCCCTGTTGCATTTTCACATATGGTTGCATTTGTTGTGCCTGTTCGACCCATGAATCTGAAGGAACTTGTATTTTGTGTGCCAAAGGAGGTGGGTATGTTGGGGAGACGGGGGAGGGGAGCAGCCGGGATCGGAAGGGTTTGGGGCTTGGGGTCTTAGTTGTGTTATTTTTTTGAATATCTGTTAGCAAGGCAGAATGCACTGTGCTAGCTCCTGAGTAACAACGTGAGTGGACTTCATTTCATTTCTAGTGTGAGGAATCGAGTTTGTTGCATCAGAAACCTCTCCTCCCTCTCCTCCCTCTCCGCCCACCTCCCTCCCCCCTTCCATCCCCTCTTCCCCCTCCTCCTCGACTCCGCCCTCTTCCCCCAAAGCCTCCTTTTGCCATTTGTTTCTGTAATGAATGGTACATCAGCCTCGTTTTGACCAAAGGCGTTGTAATGTTTCCCATGTGCACAAGAAGGCCYTCAGTCTTTTGATTACTTCTTTAACTTTAGCACCTGAATAAAGTAGCAAACCTTCATCCTGTGTGCCATTCTTGTCTGTGAGGGAAGCTTCTGATCCAATTGTTGTGTTTTCTATGTTCTTATTCAACAAGGCTTAGGCTGTGTTTCACTCAGGTCTCCACCCTTGCAGCCAGGGCTCAAAGGTACCTCAAAGCGTCCTGCCCTGCTGATCATGTAATCGTGCCTCTTGGTTGACTATCTCGTTGGTAGTTGCTAATTAGCAGTAATTAGTAGTCACTATGGTAACTCGTTGGTAATTAGCAATTACTACTAGTAGTAATTAGTAGTCACTGTGGTGAACCCACGTTGGTTGACTATCTCATTGGTAATTATTAATTACTAATTAGTAGTAATTACCATGTATGCTGCGCAGTGCGCTGTGTGAGGACCCAGGGTGTGCGCGCACTGGCGCGCTGTGGGGAAAATCCGGGGAGGGGCTACCTGCAGTTCGCTGAAGCCAAGAGCCACGGCGCCTGTCACTCGCTGCCCCCGCTTCCGAGGTCCTCAGCAACTTGCAGGGTTATGGGGGTTGTCTAACTTATTACCGTCCCCCTTCTAGGAGGCGTCGGAGTTAGGGACAGCCCTGTTGGGCGGCGAACTCGGGCCGAATGAGTGCGGGACAGCTCTCGAAGGACGTGGGTTGATTTATGGCTCCATTCATTGACTGTTCTTCTGTCGGACACCGGACGCCTTCAGCGTGCTCACGACCCTTTCTTAACACAGGGTCTTGGTCACGGGTCAAGTCAGATACATAGACATGTTCTTACCCCAATGTGTCCCCCCCCTGTTTGATAAGGAAGCCATGAATGAATCTCCTGCAAGAACGGGGATGCTGCGAAGGCTCTGTCTCCCTTATCAGTGTATTTCGGGCTTCATCTTCCGGTCCCGTTCACTGCCAAATGCGCGTTTGTAGAAGATAATAAAGTGTCATGCCTTCCGCCTCGTCCCTGTTTCCCACTCTTATTCTCACTCGTTCTTCTCTCTCTCTCTCTCTCTCTCTCTCTCTCTCTCTCTCTCTCTCTCTCTCTCTCTCTCTCTCTCTCTCTCT